TGGTCAACATGTAAGAATGCTTATAAATTAACTGTTACCTTTATTGAAACTGATAAGTTGAGATTTTTCTACTCATCACACACCACATCACATTGTATAAGCTTACAAGAAGCAGTATGCACGGATAACTCAGTGGTAGAATGTTCACCAATCACACACATACACACACACCATAAGTGGTCCGGATTCGATTCCTAGCCGATAGATACACTCATAAACCTCACTCAGTATACTACTACTACTACTAGACAGTAAGCCCAAATTTAAAGGGAAGGTTGGATGTGAAGCTGCACGTACACTTCACGCTACGAAAATAAAATCAACACTGTGAAGACTTGAAGCCCCTATGTTGCACTCGGAAGAATAAAACAAAATAGAAAATATTCTTATAAGGCTATGAAAGCCAATATTGCTTACAACAAAGTCAATAAAAAAAACCTATGATGAAAACTAGCATTCAATTCATAAAAGAAACTAAATATCGTATTTTATGTATGCACCAATAACAACAAATCATATAGACGAATCAGTCTGTGAACACGGGCTGTGTCGTGAGATTAAACCTTATTATTATTCCCGTGGGTCCCGAGCGGAACAGCTTCAACAACAACACATCACTTTGTTCTTCTTTCTGCTGTCCTCATCAACTGGCTGACCCCACGATTGCCCATAATTTTCTCGCCTCCTCTCCATACGATCCCCTTCATGTCACCCTAGCAACAACGACCCACTTGTCGCTTCCCGTTGGGATTCCACTCGAACGATGGCCAGCATTGCGCGCGGTGTCGTTTGACAGCCTCCTCAACATATGACCCATCCATTTCCATTTTCTGCTACATATTTGTTGAGCAATCAGCTCTCACTTGTCGGTTTGTTCTCAGTCACCCAGAGTTTCTTAATGCTAATTCTTTCTGGCCAGCAGGCCATTTCATCTTCAATATGCAGTCATGGAAGCGGGCAGCTGTTGATAAAAGTTTGTAACTTGTTGGAAATTCTTTTCGTTACACTCTAAGTTTCTGACCCATATAGAGGGACAGACTTCATATTTCTGTTGAAAATCTGAGTTTTGTTCTTTACGCTGCTAAATGAAGACGATTTCCAAACTGGTTTCAAGTTGATGAAGGCGTATCTTGTCTTTGCGATTCTGACTGCCTTTGACATCTTCATCCGTTCCGCTTGTGGTTGAGACCGTGCTTCCTAGATAAGTGAAGGGAGTGACCTCTTTCAAATTTACCTCATTGATGATAACTTGTGCTGGTTGTTGTAGTTGTTGCGGTTCGTTGGTTATCTTTATCACCTCCATCTTTCTCTATAAGTTACTTGAAGTCCTGTCTTTCCTGCCAGCCTCTTCTGACAGTTGGTTGCCTTTCAACTGTAAGTCTTCAAGTTTTTTGTAACACTACACATAAATCATCCGCGAAATCCAAATCTTGTAGAGTCTTCTTATCGGTCCCGCGTATCCCTGTCTTCTCACTCCCATGTACAGTCTGACGCATAATCCAGTCCCACCACAATTACAAACAGCATCGTTGGTGATAATAGGCAGGCAGCCAGGCACCTAGGCCTTGTCTTAACTCCTGTATTGACTTCGAACGCCTCGCTGAGTTTTCCGTTGTAGATCACCTTATTACACGTAGCATTATCATACATCTATTGAATCAGGTTGATAAATAAGATTCCACCTGATACTAGCGATTATCACTGAAGGTGTACACTAACAAGCTTTTCATATAAATATATACATAGAAATGCACTATTGAAACAATACAAATTATTTGACTTAATTAGTATGATAATGAACAGCAACAACGAAGTAATGATAATGAGCATAACTAATTTACATCAGATAGTAGCAAAAACTTCGTGTACAGTACTACAGATTATTTTTTTGTGTTTAGTAAACACGCCTAATGTGAACTTTGTAGTGGTGGTGGGTATTAGTAAAACAAGTTAAGATGTAAAAGCACGCATATATCACCGGGTGTGTGTATGTGTGTGCGTGCGCGCGCGCGCATTTATGAAAAAAAATGGGGGAGGAAAAGAAAATGAATACGATGCGAACTATGGAAGAATTTAGGAGACATTAAAAAAATCTTAGAAAATGTTAAAATTTACCTTAGATACAAATTTAAATGCCTTATAATTTAGTACATTACGAAAGAACATAGTATAAAAACGATTAGTGCTAAGGTAAAAAGTAAACGGAGGCGCCGTAGTGATGACGATCATGTTCCCTATAAATTGTTACGTTGGTTTTTGGACATGATGGACTTCTTTTTGCGGAAAAAAATATTTATACAAGTACTGGTTTTTGTAGGGATTTAGTTTGACTATTTAGAGGATTTCAAATGAGCTGATGTCAGCTAGGGAACCATTGAAAACCTACAGGGAGTGCTGGACAGCTGCTGTTTCATCCTAGTTTGGGAATCATCGGGAGTACGCATCCACCCACCACCAGGGTTCGAACCCAGGACTTTCCGGTTACAAGGCCAGAGAACTCGTATACCATTCAGCCACTGAGAACCGATTCAATGACTCATGAATTCTAACCTTCTACCAATTCGTGATTTAGCGCGACCCCAACCATTGACGTTGGTGGGACGTCCATCCACACACGTGACATCTAATTGGACCTCACTCGTCACGACTTTTCACTAGAACTCCAGAAAACTCCATCCTGTCACTATAGAAAATTAATCTGATGCTCGCTAGTGACTTGCCACAGGATGGAGTTTCCTGGAGTTCTAGTGAAAAGTCGTGACCAGTGAGGTCCAATTAGATGTCACGTGTGTGGATGGACGTCCCACCAACGACAATGGTTGGAGTCGCGCTAAATCACGAATTGGTAGAAGGTTAGAATTCATGAGTCATTGAATCGGTTCTCAGTGGCTGAATGGTATACGAGTTCTCTGGCCTTGTAACCGGAAGGTTCTGGGTTCGAACCCTGGTGGTGGGTGGATGCGTAATAATAATAATGATAATAATTTTTCCTTCACGTTCCCAGTGGAATATAGGGCTTCAAACTAGTGGCTTGAAGTTTCTGTAGCAGCGTTTATTTTTACAGGATGGGGTTGCTAGCCTCTAGCCCAACCTTCCCTCTTTACCAATCTTATTACTGGGTAAGTGAGGTAAAGGAGTGCGTCTGCCGAGGATCGAACCTCGGACCATGTGCATGGTCGGCGAGCGTACTGACCGCTGTGCCAGCGACGCACGTACTCCCGATGATTCCCAAACTAGGATGAAACAGCAGCTGTCCAGCACTCCCTGTAGGTTTTCCATTGGTTCTCTAACTGATATCAATCCGTGATCAACTCGTAAAAACATAAATAACCCTTACAAACCAAATTATAAAGAAATTTTAAATCAGTGATGTACACTATTTGACTGTCATGAGTTTCACTCCATATGACGTAATATTTTGAAGGTACATAACCTTTAATTAAATATGCATCCCTACAATAATCTAGTAAGAACTTTACTAAAAAAAAGTACCACTAATGGTCATTACAATTGGAATGAATGTTTACAAGCATAACTTAATAGAAGCATATTTGAAAGTACGCCAACTGTTTACAAGCTTCTTCATTTCGTTTTCCGGCTGAAGAAAAACACCATTCCCTCTATGATATGCATGTGATGGAGACACACTTTTGACTATCACTCACTCAACACACAATAAGTAAGTGATACTATTATCCCTAAATTGAGGTTATGCACAGAAAATATTAATTTTCCTTTTCCAAAGAAGTAGTAGATGGTGTTAGCATATAATTCTACACAGAAAGAAAATAAACACCTGCTTACACAACGCACTCAATAAACATTGCTGAGAAGTATGAATTAATTAATACTGCTGAATTTCAAAGAGCAGACTTAAACCTGCCTATTTCTGTTAACTAAAATAGAAGACTTATATATGTCCAAACCAAGTTCACTTTTAGCAGTTTGAAAAATTTGGCCATTAGGTATATGATATTCATTATAATAAAGGGTTTTTTCTGTATTTCCCAACGAATGAAAAACAAAACGATATTGCTGTTTTTACTGACGTTTCGCTATTTAATGCTGCCGCTAATAGCTTTATCAAAGTATTATTAAACCGGAATTTACAAAATCTCTGCATATATATAACAAACAGTTAAGAGGTGACTTGATTTAGGTCAAGTTAAAAGGAAATATGGAAAGTCAAAATAGCAATGAAGATCTAAGAATAAAACTTGTGCACTGTGGTAGAGTGTAATTCCATTATGGGTAATTTTTGTTTTAGTAAAGTCTCACTAAACCAAATAACTAAGGTAATAGTACATCAGTTATGATATCAAAATAAACCTTACTAACTTGATCATCGTTCGTCTGTCTGGGGTCATTTTTCCTTGTCAAGTTGGTCAATTGGTAAAGATAACAAAATCAAGTGTAGATTGTTGGATTTGATCAGTGTGTGACATTATAAAAGTAGTGTGTGTGTTTACATAATGAACTTTCTTATCACATTCGTGTTGATTTTGTCACTTTGTTGGGGAGGGAGGTGTTGTAACCAGATCAGATTCTGTTTTAGGCCATTCAGGCAATTTGGATTCCACTTGATATGAAGTGTTTCTGATATTAGACGTTCTCTGTGATTCCTGAAGTTTTTCTGGGTGATGATTTCAATATTATCAAAATCAATCATAACAGACGCACTATTACCTTTGTCATTTAGTTTAGTGATCTTCATTGTTATTTTGACTTTCAATATGTCCTTTTAACTTGACCTAAGTCTATTTTCTCACCCCTTAACTCTTTGTTATATATATATGCTGAGTGGGTTTTGTAAATTCCGGTTTAATAATACTTTGAAAAAGCTATTAGCGGCAGCATTAAATAGCGAAACGTCAGTAAAAACAGCAATATCGTTTTGTTTTTCATTCATTGGGAAATACAAAAACCTTTACTATAATGAATAAAATAGAAGACCATATACACAAAAATGTAACCAAGTAACAAAAAGTGAAATGAATTACCGTGGATTGATTTAATGTCTCCTTAAGATTGCTACCAGTAGCTTTTTTATCTGATGTATTATCAAATTTCGATTGGCCTGAGAAAGACATTCGAGATGACGACTTGGAACTGCTACTGCTACCATTGTTGTTGTTATTGTTGCTACTGTGATTCGGAGGTAATTCATCCAGAGGACTTTCTTCTTCCTTAACACGTTCTGGATGACTGACATCCTGAGAAACAATACCAACAAACAGACAAACAATGTTTAGAAAAAACCTCCAATTGGTAGGCTTGTTCCACATATCAGTTGATTGCGAAATACCTGATTAAAAATTCTTTACGATGTGATTCAAATTTACAAACTGTATCATTATATTTACATTCACATTATCTGCAGGTATTGATTAGTCGGTGGCGTCGGTGGCATAGCGGTTAGGATGCTCGCCGACCATGCACATGGTCCGGGGTTCCATCCCCGGCCGACGCACTCCTTTACCTCGCTAAGCCAGTAGTGAGATTGGTAAAGAGGAAAGGTTGGGCATGAGGCTAGCAACCCCATCCTGTAAAATAAACACTGCTACAGAATCTTCAAGCCACTGGCTTGAAGCCCTATGTTTCACTGGGGAACGTGAAGGAAAAAAAAATTGATTAGTCATAGAAGACACCATAAAGAAGAAAATAATCAACAGTTGAATAATTTCAATGCAAATCATCCCTTTCTCGCTAACCTATTCTATTTAGCAATTTTATCTGCAAGTCTAGAATTCTCTTAACCTGGTAATGTGAGCGATTCTAAGGTTCAGTGGCGTGTGTTTAGATACGATAGGAATCACCATTCATTGACTGCCACCAACTTGGCTTGGATATGTGCTACGAATGTTATCACAGTGGCTTCCGTATCGGTCTGTGTTCGCCAGCCCTAAGACTGGATGGAAAAAAGAGGAGAGGTGATCAGCCTATGACGTGGCACTGTGAGATGAAGAATACTAGTGCTAGGTTAGCAACAGTTGGTGCATCACGCACCCCCTGGTTGGGTTCCAACAGACAGTTTAAATCGGCGACCCAAAACGTTATCAGATGTGATCGAAAATCGCAATCAATGGCGAACATTATGCGATTCCCTTCTCTTTTCCCTTTCTGAAAGTAATATGAAGTGATAAATATTGCACGATCTTGAAAAGTATGATTGCTTGCTTTCCCGGATGACGTCCCTTAGGGAGAGATTGAAATCTCTCCCTATTTTCTTTACATACTATTGTTTTATTGTTGTTGTGTAGCACATCTCTAAGTTCTCATATTGTACCAACATACGGCTTCAGTGGCACGCTATTCCAAGCAGATTACGTATAAGCTACTTTCGCTCTTCACAAGATCTCATCAATGTCACTCTCAGACGCCCAACTCTCCGTTTCTCACCGTTCGGCTTCTAGTAGAGGGCGCAGTGCACAATGTCACTCACTGGTCTGCTCAGAGTGTGTCCAGTTCATCCCCATTTCCTTCTACATATTTGTTCGGCGATAGGTTGTTTGTTGGTTCGTCCCCAGAGTTCCTTGTTATTTATCCTTTCTGATCATCCGAGCTTAGGCATCCAGTGAAGGCATCTGTTGATGCAAATTTGCAGTGATCTGTTAGAAATGCTTTTCGTGACGCTGCTTGAGAAGTAGTATGCTAGTGCTATATTACTTTTCTTTTAAAATGTAATTTAACATTAACACACACCTACCACAACCTAGAAGACTAGTAATACTAAGAACAAATAAAATTGTCGAAACATTGGATCTGAATAGTACATTCAGTGATGAATACAGACACCACCACTTGTTAGTAGACATATTGAAAAAGCAACCGTTAGAAGCCAATAATTAAATTAACGCAAATGTACTAAAAACAACAAATACAGATGGAAGTCATAAAATGGCCATAGGAAGAATAGTAACGGTCTTCAAAGTAGTCTAGAAATGCCGCCAACAGTGAAACCAAGAAAATCGCCTTAGTCAGGTGTTGAATTTAATTATAAAAGTGAGTCAAAGAGTAAGAATTATCCCAATCGGCATATAAATTTTCTAAATAAATCAGCTAAGATGATAAAACGTTTACCTTTACTGAACTCCGTTTGAAAAGACCAAACATATCAGGTCCTGAACTAACAGGTCTTTCTTTATTGGTTCGATCATTCGGACCAATACTGGATCGTGGACGAACCATTCTAGATGTCGGAGGTAAATTGGCTGCATTTGGATGAGATGCTTGGGGGGATGAAGCGGGGTTGGGTTCCAAGTTCGTCTACAAATAAAATCAAGACAATTTTAATAGATACTTAAAATTAATATGATATCTTTGTAAATTAAAATTAATCAATGTTACTGAAGACACGTTGCATAGTTAACTCCTTCGACAACCTGTTTATATCAGTTACCCATGTCATTCTCTAGTGAGATAAGTTACCTTTCGAAATAAAATATACGGTAAATATAGATTACAGTATAAAGACAAAGCTAAAAATCAATTTCCCTTTGAATTTCATCGATTGTTCGTTAACAAAAGTCGAAAAATGCCCTACCTGTCTGGAATATATCTCATTCATCAATGGGGTGTCTCTATAAGCAAAGGTTGGGTGTTATTTTTCACGAAACTCAACTTAACTAACTCTAAATTCATAGTAAAATTAAGTAGGTTTAATACAATATCTAAGACCATCCCCTTTAGATACATCGATTTTTTGAGACAATAAGAGAGAATCGGACAAAATGATTTTTATTTATTTATTTATTTTCACTCTAACATACAAAAAAGATTACTAAAAATAATGATAGGAAATAAGTTGCATCAGCTATTGCTTATCAGATCTGACTTTCCCACAGGTGGTCGGAAAAAAATATACACAAAATGACTGATAAAACCTGAAACTCATTACACTGTCATATAAACTATAAATAAATGCGTATTACTTCTCTGGTAACATAAGAATGCAGTAACTATTTTCGTCTATGGTTCAATGATGGGAATACTCAAATTGAAGGTAAACGAGAGATTGCTAAGCCATTCAAATATATAGGAATAAATGTGTTTAAATACTAGGAAAATCAAAATTCTATGTCTTCGGAATGACTTGACGGCATTTCTTAGATGATCATCCAGATACTCACCATTAATGTGAATGGTTTGGGTTCAATTTCCAGCCAACGCACTCCTAAGCCTCACTTATTTAACTAACCGGAGTAAGAAAGGACGGTTGAGCAAGGCTAGCAAAACCTGCCCCGTGATAATAACGCCACCGCTTTTGAAACTTTAAAGTTTGAAGTCCCACTCAAGAACGTAAGGAACGAGAAAAAGCATAAAGTGTATTGAGAGTAAAACCAAACGTGCATGGCTACACCAATCGTCTCTATCTTGTTGCAGAACACACTAAATATCTTTTTATTCACTGAACTCTGTACCTCTACCTCTGAGCTATCAGTATATGCTGCAACTTCAAAACAATACCATATCATTGAACTAAACTCCTCAAGTCGCATTTTCACCGTTGATAAGCCCATATAGCACTTAGATGGAAGACTAAGAACAAGAAAGAGTTGAAAATTTCCATATAAATCTATTTTCTTTTGAGTTATTTACAAAAAATAGTATTATAAGCACGCCTTACCATCACATCAACTACTTATTTGACCACACTTCTCAACAGCAAAATTATCACTGAGCCTACTGATATTAAGGTCACTCTAAGGTGAAAGCTACAACCTTTCGTAAGATATATAATCAACAAAACTAGGAGGTGGTAAACTGTTGAATGCAATGAAGTCATAAACAAGTCAATGCTGTGAACTTAATCAAAAGATTTTACTACTAGTAGCAGGAGTCTGTCTATTTTCCACATAGAACTTTGCACCGATGTGCGGCAGTTTAATTCGCTACACTTCATGTAGTAGCAGGAGTAGATACAATACGCGTGATATCTAATCATGACTAATTTCTTCATTTACCTATATCTTAGGCAACTAATGGGATAGCAATGCCGAAGTGGGAGAAACACTGAAATTCAACGGATTGAGTGTACACACTGAATAAGGCTACAACGATAACTCATGATTTAGACAAAAACCACATTAGAAAGTCAGAAATATTCTACGGACCTGTGGCTCATGAGAGAACAGTTTTGGGTAGTGAATGAAACAACTGGTGGCGTTGAGGAGATCAACAAACGAAATTCCATCAAGTTTCTAAGTTGTGTGGACCAAATAGCTGCCGACTGTACTAATGTACAGAAATGAACACAATGAAAAGTTATATATTGTTAATTTCAATCTATCTAAACAATCATCAAACATTTTGACGCGAAAACTCGATAATTCTTATTCTTAAGATTTTAGATAATATAAAAAAATCGTAAAAGTACAATGCAACATTAACCAGTTCTTCCAAAAGAATCCGAGACAGCATCAAACTGGTGTAGGTTGTTGTCCATCCCAGTTCATAAGAAAGGGAACAAACCTTCCAGTGATAACCATAGACAGATAAATTTGATCAGTATACTATCTATAATCATTGGAAATATAGTACTACTATAACTTAGTGGGTACTGAACAAACCAGTTAGGTTTTAGGCCCTCATAAGGGTGCATTGATCAAGTCTCCATGGTGTTCGACTGTGTCAAATGCACGATGATGCTTCAAGTCTGCTATGCAACAATTCCTGGTTTATGGATGGGGAGTAAATCTTCAAACCTCATTTGTGTAAAAGCGTCATTTGTCTCTCTTCCCCCTAAACAGCAAGTACGTTGGTAATAACTGACAATAAGGGGAAGAGTAACTAACTAACACGACGAAATTCTTAAAGTAGATAACTATACGAGAAGCTGAATAATGAACGTTAAACGTCGTCAAAAATGATTCAAATTAATCCATAAAATACAGTTCCTTTTTCAAACGTGGGAAACAGCATCCAATAAGCACGGCATCATAGTATTATTTAGGAAGTCAGAAACGCTACAGAGCATCTCAATCATGTAAAAAAAAATTCCGAAAGATTTAAGGTTTAAACTGTCTACAAAATAAAAATGTCAGACTGTGATGCAATATGCACCGGATAAAAGTTTCGAAAAATCAAGATGAGGAGAAACAAACATCGTGGCATTGTTTATGATCAGTAAAAATGCAATAAAATTTGAAAAGTTTAAAAATTTCCAGTCATGGTTTTACAAGGTAAAGAAATCATCCAGACAAACTTTAAGACTCACAAAGAACGTCTGATTGCAGAAGCACTTCATATGAAATGGAATACAAATGACCTGAACAGGAATGATGGGGATAAAGCAGAATCTGAGTTGGCTCTAAACATCCTTCTGACCACTAAAGTTAGTTAGATTATCATAAAAAGACTGAGATTTTGTAATTCCTGGTTTTCTATTACTTCCATAAAGCCAGTAGAGCATTATGCAGCTAAACATCACTAAAAACACAAATTTGCTTTTGTTTTTCATCCATTGAGAAATATTATTATTGTTCCCTTGAGAAATATAAATTCTTAATAATAATGAATCTTATAGAGTGAAACAATTAAGAGCAACCATTCGGCTTATTTAGGAAGTTACATCAATCCTAATGATCTTGTTGCTATCTTAGCATTAAGACGAAGGGTTTCTTTGGAACTAAGCAGCTTGAGTCATCCTTGGCTCAGAGGTGATTTCCAGCTTACTGTACAGAAGTTTGCCTCATAGTACTTTACAGTTGTGACAAATGGCCTCTGATGTTAAACGGTATGAAAAGACTTGTGGGTCCCAATAATGGATCTCTTCATTCAATCTGTCGTGCAAACTGAGACGGTTCAGTCGGTATTAACGAGATAAGGCTTAGAGTTCTAAATAAGGAAAGAAAGAAAGCCGATGAGGTTGTGGAGTGCCCTCAATTGACCAGGCTAAAACATATGCTACACATGTACGATATCAATTTTCACCAAAAAGAGATTTTAACCAGAATAAGGCTAGTTTGGAAAGAGTTAAAGATAGTCACATAAAAAACACTACACTAACCCATGAAGTCCTTGCCTGTTGGTTTGAGCAAACTGACGAAGTTTAGACCGCCTGGTTAGAGACATGGTGGAAATGCATTCATCCCTTGCCATCTTTCAAATTCTGAATAGCTATCCTCACTAGTTTGATTAGTTTCATTTATTTATTTGTTTTATTCCTTCGCGTTACGAGTGGAACATACGGTTTCAGACTTGAGCTTTTACGTTTCAGCAGCAGGTGTTTGTTCGTCTCATGCCCAACCTTACCTCTTTACCAAGCTTACTAACAGCTATGAGAATTCTAGGAATGATTCGACCGGGAATCGAACTGCGGACTATATCCGTACTTCGTAAGCATTCTACCACTAGTCGCCATTTACTTATTCCACTTCTCTTATATATTTGACCATTATATTTCCATTACGTTTCTATCCTCTATGCCTGTCTGTCTGTCTGTTTTCGACATAGAACTTTGCACATATGTGCACCAGTTCAATTCGCCACACTCCCTCCTTGTAGCACACAAAGCAAGAAGAGAAAGTACAAGAAACGCATAACAGACAGTAAGCAAAGGTGTGAGACAAAGGAGGAGTAACAACGAAGAACAAAACAGTTTCATTGGAAATCATGAGTCACAAGGAGTGGATACATCTGCGCCACTGAGAACGATTTTGAGCCATGTCATCAATTGTTTCCAACCATAGATTTTTACCGTCCCGAGGACCCCAACCAGTCAGGAAGTCTACACCTTCCTACGTGGCTTAGACCAACTGTTGTGGATGCCACAGCTAGTTCACGAGGATTAGCTGGCGTAGGGATAGCTTTGAGTACTAGGGCAGAAAAGACATTGCTTGACTGGATCCCGGTAGATAGCCGAATGTGTGCTGTCCGCCTGAACGGATCAGTAAGAAGGAGGAAGGACTGCACTACTCGCCGATGCCTTTTCGTAATCTCCGCCTACGCCCCCACTGACTGCAGTTCAGATGAAACGAAGGATGAGTTCTACCAAAAGCTGTCTAGTTTGGTGAGAAAGGCTAAACGCTCAGACATAGTCGTTCTAGCTGGTGACTTTAACGCTCAAGTAGGGAAATTGTGTCAATCTGAGAAGGATGTCGGTGGCACCTATGGAGTTCCGTGCCAGCGAACCGACAACGGTGACCGTCTCCTACAGTTCTGCTCTGATAATCATTTGTTTCTTGTAAGCACTAACTTCAAACACAAGGAGAGACACTGTTTGACTTGGAGACCCCCTTCGTCAAACCAACGCTGGACACAAATAG